CTGCACGCCGGGGCCCCGGCCGCATCAGAGCAGCTGTGCAGCAGCTGGAGGTACCCCAGGGCATCCGAGAACTCCCTGTGGTGGGAGACTGGTGTTAGGACAGGCGGCCAGGACCCGGGCGTCCGGAGGGCACTGGCCCTTCACCCCTCCCCCACAGCACAGCCTGCTGTCCTGGCTCTGAGTGGCACTATCACCTCCTGCCCGGAGAGGAGCTGAGACCCACCCGAGGCCACCGTGGTGAGTGGATGGTCACCTGCTCCGGCCACCTCCACAAGCCCCCCAACAGCCATTCCCAGACCACAGTGGAGGGCTCCTGCCTCCTGGGGGCGGGAGGACGGGACACTCACCTGTCCCCATCAGTTGATGCAGGGCTGGGGCTGGGCTGGGCCACACAACTCAGTGCTCGCTCCAAGAGGTGTTCTCGAAACAGCTGGGTCACCTGGGCCAAGGGGTCCACTGTGGGGAGGAGCGGGTGAGTGGGGAACTGCCTGGTCTCCACATCCCCCTCCTGGGCACACGGGGCTGGGCTCTGGGACGGATGGATGAATACCCTGCCCCTGGCCTTCGACAGCGTAACCTACTGGGCTGGTGGAGCCAGCTCCCTGAGCTCCCTCACCTGCTCCGCCCTCCCGCTTGACCGCCCTCCCGCTTGACCGGCGGCGGTGGCACAGGTCACCGCCCACATTCGCCACCTGCCCCACACCCCACTCGTTTCCTTCTGAAGAGGCCTGAGAGACCAGCCCCAAAGCAACAACAGACAACCAGGGAGCGGGCTGGGCGGCCAGGGACCCCCGAGGTGCAGGGGCAGGGACGCAGCAGGAGTGAGGCTAGGAAATGGGAGTGGAGAACAAAGGCTGAGGAGGGCGGGGCCGGGGGACAGGGAGGCCACCTGGGTTCCCGGCCGAGCTGTACAGGCTCTCCCTCGGGGGGCTGCCCACGGCCCAGTCCCCATTCACGAAGAAACGGTGGCCCACAGGGTGGCAGAGCCACTGCAGGGCAATGGGCACTGCGCCACTCTGCGCCAGGCAGGCCTGGCGGGCACTGCTCAGGAAGAGGCGCTGTGGGGAAGGAGGCGGGCTGTCACTGCCCTGGCAGT